TAAAATACAATTTGTAAAGTTAATTTGGGTAAAAAAGTACGGGACATAAAAATTGATAGGAATAGCATTGAAAAATATGGTTAACAATCATTCCTAAAATAAATGATTATATTATATAATTGACAGTACTTACTATGTATATTTTGTAACTTCATTATAGATGGCATCTGTCACCTGTGAGCGATCAGCCCTGCTTAATTGTTCACCACTTTCCAGTTTCTGGACCACTCCTGCTCGTAAAGCATATGCAGGGAATATAAACTTGGTTGGCCAAGGACGGGGTAATCGAGTGGTTGTTGCTGTAGATAAATTACAACTTGAAGGAAAAAAAATGCATAAAACTTCAAATTCTGGTTTTAATAGAATCGAGTTAAAGTACTAAATACGACATAAGATAGTCCAAGAATACAAACACATTTATGGAGCACGGTTTAAGCTGCCACTAGCCAAATAGCATTTGTATTTTTTTGTAGTTTTTACATAGAATGATTTCGATAGATTTTTGCTCATCAAACTTCAATTTGGCTATATAAATTTAAATCTCAATTTGCTAAAAAACATTTTCTTCCAGCTTAATAACTGATGGGGTATCATACTCCCTCGTGTGAGAGCACACAGAGAACAATTCTTTATATACAAATGAAACATGTTAATTTAATGAGGAATTAAACTGGTCTGTAATTTACAGTACAGTATGCAACTTATTTAATATATTGAACCCTGGAGGGAATAATTTCACTGGTATAGCGTAGCAATTTGCTACAAAAAAAAAAATTAAAAATTTATTAAATTAAAAAATACACAATTTTAGACTTGGATAGCATATTTTTATCACATTAAAGACCAATTACCATATATTCAACAAAAAACGGAGGATTATAAGATGGATTATGCAAGGCTGAGGTGGGCAGGACCACCCACCTTCGGAATACCATAGTACCTGTATTGCTAATCAAAATCATGAAATAAAATTTTTCTCTCTGGTATTAATGATTTCCATTTTTAAAACTTGGAAAAGTGATACAGCTTTAGAAATGGGGTCACATTACTATTAGTAACTTACTTTTCTACTGCAATTTCAGTATTGATATGTTGTCCAGTCACTTTACGTACATTATCGGCAGATTCTGCTGGAACATCAGGAATTTCACTGTCAGACGATTCTCTAACAACAGCCTCAACTTTCAACTTCATCATATTTTGCAAAGATGAATTTAGTTCTAGGTTCACCCAGTCTTCAAAGTCTTTCTCATAATATTGAAGTGTAATTTCATTTCTCTTTTGTATGTTGAATTTTTCATAAATGATTTCGGTTATATCAGAGACTATTCCAGTGTCAGCTTGTAATTCGATAACATGTTTTGCCAGCTTATACGTGACATGAAATCTAAGAACCATTTCTGAAATTGACCACACTTATTTAAATAAATTAATACAATGATCATATTTATACCAAATATATTTCAGTCATATTGACATGAAATTTAAAAAAAAGCCTATTCTTGAAACAATTACTATTTTCCACTAATCTAAAAACTACAATAACAGCACTACATGAAGATGAATTTTCCTGCAAGCAAGAAATAGATCATACAGATATCTTGTGCCTAAGTATTACTATTTTGTTATCAGTTCCCCCATCTTTAGGTAGAGTATAGATATCAAGAGGATGATAGTCAATAGCATCAGTAGGTTTTATTAACTTAAATGCGTTGAGGTGTTTTACAACATATCCATGATAATGAACATTGAAGTACAAAGTGCTGAGATATGTCTGTCTCTTATACACATCTACCATTCTAATTCTATTTTTAGGTTTTGAGAGTTTTCTTCTGTTGAATTAATTGAAGGTGCATAGTATTTTCTTTAGCATTTCCATTACAAAGTTTACATATACCTGAATTTTCCGACGACCATAATTGTTTTCTGCCTTCAAGGTTTAATGAGTTGGAGCGTTCTTTAAATTTTAGGCAACTTCTTTAAAATATTTTTTATCAAGAAGATACGGTTCGAGTTCTGGTTTGTCTTTGTATATTGTATAATGTATCAATGGTGATTTGGATTGTGCTCTCTTTTGCCATTCATTATTATCGTTCTTTCTGTTTTGATCTTTAAATTTACACATCCAATTATTAGATGGTTCTGTATATATATTTTTCCATGTTACACTTATATAGAATTTATTTATTTTATTAAGCCATTCCTATTTTAATTTACTTTCCACAAATTTTATTGCATTATAAAGAGTTTTTGGCCATCTAATCATCCATGTTCCCCAAGCGATTAATTAAAGGGTGTTTTATCTGTCGATTCCACAGATTGCCATTCTAGATCACCGTATAGCGCCTGTCTCTTATACACATCTTTTTCTAGAAGTCCACTCGTTAAATTAGTATATAGGCCTATAGTATAGAGAATTTTGTCTGTCAATCTCAGATATCCAAATTTTAGGAAATTACGTTTTATGCATGCACCGACATGAGAACTTTAACCTAATAACTTTGATATGTAGGCCTATATATTTTGTGTTGTTTGTTGAATAGACTTCTTTAATAATAATATTACCTGTCTCTTATACACATCTAGATGTGTATAAGAGACAGCTTTTGAATATGTATTGATAGGAGTAAAGTATAACTAGCTATAGTTATTAATGTGAAGATTTCGAGAGGCAATTGAGGGCGCTTTTTAAAATGGCCGCCAAAATTAAAGAACAATTTAACAGCAGCTTCAATACCCTAAATATTTTTTTTTTAAATTTACAAAACATGAATGTAATAACTGCTGTTGACTGTTTAAACCCGAAGTAACATATTTTAGGGTGGTAAGCTAACTTACTTTTGGAAATGTAAGTACCTGTCTCTTATACACATCTAGATGTGTATAAGAGACAGCGTATATATGGTGTTTTCTGCACACTTTCCTTGAAATGACTGGATAAATTTCTACTCCTGAGTGTTCTAAAAATATTCAGGGTTCGTATAACTTTCCGCTTTTAGCCGATCCGCTGCCACCATGTTGATTTAGACACGATTATAAATGAAACTCATGCAACGCAATGCTGCCATACTTTGTATTTTTATTCCAGTGACCTGTGACCTCAGTCTCGTACAATAACTTTTGTACAGTGAATATGAATATCATAACAGGCCTAACCTACAGTTATCTGATGACTTTCAAACATATTATTGGTACAAATATGATCATATAAAGTAGTAAAATAATGTTTACCTGTTGTTAGTTAAAAGGCCGTTTTAAATGAAAATGCTAGCTAGCTGACAGTCCGGAGATGAAAAGAGCGGGAAAAAAATACGGTTGCACATGCGCACGTTATTCATGATAACTTGTCATCTGAAGTACTAACTTGTCAGTGTGGCGTTCTAATTTGAAAGCATTCGCTCGAAATGGTCTTCTGAGACACGCCCATCTTTGGGAGTACTTTTTGAAATAGGATTGCTTTTCAATGAAACCACGGCAGTCGGATCTCTCGCAGTTCTATACTCTTTGTTTCTGTGTTTGCATTTGAACTCGTAATTTTCAGAATGAATCGGCAGTTTTTACGAATGAAAGAAAACACGGGAAGAAAATAGTTAAAATATTTTTATTTATTTATTTACACTTCTAGTGAGAACATATTCGAATATCACATACTGTAATATTACCAAATTCCATGAATTTTAATTATTGTCCCATATTTTCCCTGACTTTCAAGGCCTGGAAAACATGATATTAAAATTCCATGACTTTCCAGGTTTTCCATGACCCGTACGAACCCTGGTCAAAGTGCGGCGGATCACCTAACTCGTCCTCAGTGATGAGCTCAAATCTAGTTTTATTATTTTTTGTAGAAAAGAATAGACCACCATTGTATAATTCCTTGTTTAAGAGGGTAGGCCAATATTGTATAATTTCATGTAGTTAAGAGTAGAGTAAGTAGTAGTTAGGGATTTATTTGCATTTCCCGTTTAAAACATCTTTCTGCAATGTTTGTGAAACGGCTTTCTAGGTTTAAATCAAAATTTAACTGTGATATATTATTTTCACGTTTTCTTAACATAACCCTGTTGACTGCCTGTACCCCAGCGCCAGTGGTTAAGCTGCCTTCCATTACATTGCATTTCTTCCTCCCATGCATGTCCTGATAATTGGCAGACCCCCCAATATCAGTGGACAATATCTTGTTAATATAGTATATATCTTGTTATTCATTATCTTTTCATTTGATATTCTGATATTGTGTTTAAAAGAAAAATATTGTGTTATAATCGTAAAGAAAAAAAAACAGTAAATTGAATAATCTGTTAAGGTACATTTATTGGCGTATTCATAATTTTTAAAAGGTATTATATGAAAGTGTATGTAAAGGTTATCTATAATATGAATATTGATTTAATGTTCTCAGGTTAAACTATGGCATCTTTATAAAAGCAGCATGGTTGCATAATATATGAAATTTAGTGGTATCTCTCTTTTATATTTTGGGAAGCCAAGTACAAGAAATTCTGTTTAATATTATGATAATGTTGGAAAATAGAATTTGTTATGAGTGTTGACAAAGCTACATGATAGTTCTTGCAATTTCAAGTGAATTTAGGAAAAAGAATGTTATTATATGTATCAAATCATAAGTAACTATAGAAAAGAAGTATATTTCAGAAAGAGTACTTTAGATTCCTAAACAGTTTACAGAGCTGTGTAAAACAAATTACCCTGATTCTATCATTAACTAATAATGTGCAATGGTATTTAAAGAAAATATTACCTGTGAATCATTATATTAGTTTATTTGTGCAATATATTTAAAGAATATTATATATTTATTTGAACATGTGCTATATTATATAGAAATATATGTTTAAAGGTCATTAAAAGACTCCTCAGAAGTCGGAAAAGCTCATTTCCAGCCATCTAGAAATCCAAACCTTCCCGGCGGAGGACCCCGGGACCCCCCCTTGCATTTTGGGGTTTTTTGGAAAAATTTTGAACCCCCCTCTTTTAAATCCTGGATCCGACCCTGATATAGATGTGAGGACACTTCTAGGGAAAATAGGAGAGTAATGTAACACTGATATTATTTTGTTCAGTATTGCGCCTGATGCATGTAGTATCATATCTAGTTGTATCTGGTTCTTGTCATATGTTGAATGTGTATTTATTACGCATTTCTGTGCGTGCGTTGGCACTTGCCTCAACCAATTGTAGGTGAAGCGCGTATTGTAGAATATTGTATTAGCCAATGATTGTATTATGTTTGTAAATATCCAATGAAAAGGACCGTAAGGTTCGTTGAAAACAAACATTCGGTGACAGTTGTGTGTGATGCAGTTTTTTTAAAGAGAGTTGAGTTCGAGTTACGTTTGGGACTGGATGTGTTATCCAGACGAAGCAGGTTCCAGGGCCATCCATAAACCAATACAACACTGCTGGATATGCAATAACTACATGCATCATCGGCAATCGATATTAAACCAGCGACAGAAGGAACAATACAAAAACTTAAAAGATGGCAAACCTCCATTGAAACAAAAGTGGAGAATCTATGAAACTACTAAATACTAAACTTGATTAAAACTGAAAACTTTTAAAATGTTGAACAGTATGTTTGCAAGAAATTGTTAAATGTTAAAATTGCAATATGTTTATTGAACTGAAAATGTTAAAAAATATGTTGTAAAGAAATTTTTCTCCGATGGGAAAGCAATCCCAGCTAAGGCCAACTTTCGAAAAAATTTTGTTTACACCATGTAGGCCTAGGCTGAACATCTATATTAACAAACACAAACTCACTGAGCACAACCTGAAACAATTAATCATCTTTTTATAAACGTGTATATTTTTTATGCGCGTTAATATAATGCAATTTAGTTTTTACTGCAATGATTTATTGTTATTATTTGTATGTTTGTTAAGATTTGAAATAAAATATATCATGAGAAATGAATTTTAAGACGTATTCACTTTTGGGTCCATCCAACAAACACAACTTGTTTGAATATGTAACAGGGCATACAGTATGTATTCAAAGGTAGAGGACAAGAGGCTTTAACTATAGGACATGTAATGAAGAAAACTGATTATGTCACATCTATGACGAACTTGTTCTCTGATTCAACTAAGTTTAAGAAACTATCTAACTGTTCATTAACCATGCAGCTTAACTCCTTACAAGCCTACCTCCAGACACTATTTAATAGAAATGAACTAACTGAAACTGAATACAAAGAAATTCGTCCAGTATCAACCATGCCTGCTAGAGCACATGGGCTACCTAAATTACATAAAGATTTTGATAATATTCCACCCCTAATTCATATTATTGACACGACCAGTACTATTTACATAATTTAGGTTACCGATTTGTATCTTTTGATGTTGAATCTCTGTTTACAAATGTTCCCCTTATTAAGGTAATTAATATAATTCTTGATAGGGTTGACAATAAGAAACTGATATCTACTAACCTTAAGAAAAATTTGCTAAGGAAACTACTTAGAGATTGCTGTACTAAAACTGTATTTACATGTAATAATGAATTTTATAAACAATATGATGGTGTCTCAATGGGTTCGCCTCTTGGCCCAGTTTTAGCTAATATTTTAATGACTGAACTAGAAGAGTCTATTGTTCCTAAACTTATTGAATCATGTACTATTAAGTTTTATACTCGTTTTGTTGACGGCACGCTAATATTAGCTAAGCCCAATGATTTCCCGCAAATTCTAAGCTACTTCAATGCTTTTCATAGACAGATAAATTTTACTTTTGAATCATTTGAAAACAGTGACACAGTACACTTTCTGGATTTACAATTTAACAACAGTGTAGGAAGCATGAGTACAGTATATATCGTAAAAATACACATACAGGTCAATATGTCCATTATGATAGCTTTGCTCCACGGAACCATAAGATCTCCTGGATTCGTAGTTTAGTTTCAGAGCCCACAGGTTGTGTACTCCTGATAAAATTCAAACACAGCTTAGTAACATCAGGAAGTTTATGTCTTGGAATGGGTACCCTTTAAAAGTTGTTAATGATGTACTTAAGGAATTAAATGAACCTAAATGTATACATAGGCCTACTGATGATAGCTTGATTAAGATTTGGGTTAGATTGCCTTATCTAGGAAAACCAGGTGAGTTCATTTTACGTAGATGTTTAAATAAGGTAAAGAAACCCCTAAGGAGTACAGAAGTTCTGTTGTCTATCATTTTAAATGTCCAGGCTGTAATAGAGATTATATTGGTAAGACAGATAGGTGCTTAATAACTAGACTTAAAGAACATTCTTCACGATCTGATAGTGTTATATTTGATCATGTTAAAAACTGTGAGGCATTCCAATATGTTTTAGGATTACAGGGTATACTTGAAAATGATAATGTCGTCTGTAATGTAAGTAATAAATTAGGTTTAATATTTTCTAGTACTAACATTATTGACAGCTCCCGAAACTGGTCTATCCTATTGTTTAAAGAAGCGTTCGCTATACGTAGACTACACCCTTTGCTTAACAATGTGCTTAGAGCTTCAAAAGAGCTTTCTTTGTTTTTGTAGGTATCTTTGATCATTAGAGTATGAACGCTTTGATCTTTTGTTTAAATCACTGCTATGTCACCTACTAGAGGTAATGTTTTGATTGGTTAAACACTTTTGGTACTAGTGCATATAAGCTTGCTAATATGGATAATTTTTCATTCCTGATGATGACATAATCAATGTCGAAATATTGAATCCCAACACAATGGTGTGTATTTCAATACTTGGAGTATGTATTATACTTTCTTAAAATGTTTTGTTGAGAGTTCCTGGTCTGGTTACTGTAAATTTCTTTTTTTATAGTTTTAAAGAACAAGAAATTAATGACATTATCACACTTCCTGTCTCATATATTACTACCATATCTTACCTGAGAATTTTGACAGTGAAGAATTTGGCAATAGGACTATGCTCTTCATACAAATTTCATTATTATGGTATATGATCATTAAAGAAAATCTTTCATTTGTGTCATCTTTTGCAGCTTGACTTTTCATGAAAATGTAATCGTCAATTGATTAAATGCACAAAATATGTCAGAGTGTAATAATCAAAAAGTTTTGGTGGACCTCATTGACAAAACTGGCTCCTGTGCTCTTGTTACAACGGTCATTAATATTTTGCATGATCTTTTTACAATTCCAGCTATCATAAGCATTGGTGTGAATGACAAACTGGCCCCTACTCTTGCTGCAGGTTTATTAAATGTTCTATAATTTTAAAATTTTCAGCTGTTATGAAATATAGTGGCCCCTATATGCTCTTGTTCTATGATCATATTTTGCATGATGTTTGCA